TATATATATATATATATTACAAGGAATGCCCTAAGGCTTTTATACGAGCCCCAGTCATCCCCGATGCGCCTAACAATTCGAGTACCACACCCTCCGTCGGTGGAAATCGAACCCCAGACCAAAGGGAACTTACGACTGACAAGCAGGTGCCCGAGCAACTGATCTGATAATGCGGCGCATATATATATATATATGTATATATATATATATATTTGAATCATTTAAGGGCATAGGGTCATGTATTGTCCGTGAGTACATACAACATGGTGAAAGACCAAACATTATGAGAGAGTGCAACAAAGAGAGAATGTGATGAAAGATATTTATTCTTGGAGGGAACCACCAAAAAATATTAACTTCTGACCTCTCATAAGTCGGAGGAAAATGACATCCTAGAGTTCTCTTCAATTCACAAATTTTGGGGAGAGAGCGAGAGATAAATCTCACGGAAAAATGATAGGGAGCCTTCCAAAGAAGAGAGCTAAAGAGGAAAAATGAAGATCATTATCTTTTCTCTTGTTACCCCTTCTCTACATATGAGGGAAAGATTATAAAATTGACCAAGTAGTAAATCAAGAATTGTCTTGTTGGCATTTCTCTGGTACATCAATTGAAGGCCAATGCATTGAATATGAGGTATTGTTGGTTATTGCCAGTTATTTTTTGTATGGTGACCATCCTAAATGCGTGACCAATGGGACTGAATCGCAGTGTTGGTTGGTGTCTTCAAATTTGACTAATGTCGTGGTTGATCAAGATGACTTTCTCGAATTATTATCTCTACAGGGATGGGTTTAAGGCATCCTCCATAGAAGACAGCGATAAGTTGGAGCATTATCTGCGGCAGGTGGGATCGATTTGGCCACTTCAACTGATGGGTTCAATCATGCCACTTAAGCAGGTGGGTTCGATTCGACCACATTGACAGATGAATCCTTAAAAGTTTCGTATATTTGTATTTGTGTGTGTGTGTGTGTAAAGAAGAGTATATATATTGAGGTATGCTTGTTTCTAATGAATATTTACATTTTAAAATCAATCTCCTTAAATGATCAATCATTTTACTATATCATAACAAAAAATTGATTTTGTTCTTCTATTTTTTAGTTAGAACACAAAGAAGTTATAATTATGTACTATGTGTAGAAATTAGTATTCAAGCTGTCATGTTTTACTAACATTCAAACTGGTATATTCAAGTGTGCAAGGCATCGAATTAAGCATATATATATATATATATACACACACACCCTTTTGCTTAAATTTCTCAATCAATTTTATTTGTATTATTTTGTTTAAAAATACTTGAAAGGAGATAAACTTCGAAAACATTGTTAAAATTTTATTTGTATTGTATTATATAGTGAACCAAGGGCTGGCTACATTAGCATTTTTTGGAGTGGGAGTGAACTTGGTTATATTCTTGACAAGGGTGCTTCAACAAGATAATGCGGCTGCAGCCAACAATGTTAGCAAATGGACAGGAACTGTCTACCTCTTCTCTCTGATTGGTGCCTTCCTTAGTGACTCCTACTGGGGAAGGTACAAGACTTGTGCCATTTTCCAGATAATATTTGTAGTGGTATGTATTATATTCATATTATTTCTAGATTTCTGTTTTATTAGAGGAACTTTTTTTACATTTGAGATGTTCACTGCAGACTAAAGCTTTTCCAAGCCCCCTAATGTTCTCAACTTTAAAATTTGAATTACATCCATCATAATTTTATAAATTTTCTTTTGCTTGAAATAGTAATTATGATATTTTTCTTTAATTAATTCTCTCATTTTTCTTTAGGCTCCAGTGCCTTCAGAATGAACAAGCTTTAAGAAAATATAAAAGAAACCACTCTAATTAAGTCCGCCAAATTAACTAAATAATACTATACTTGGAGCAATAACTCACCGTACCTAGTAATAAATATATCTACCTTAAACAAATGGTCCAGGAAACAACCTTTAATATTAAATGAATGCATAATTGACACTCTAAATTTCTATGATCACTACTTAGTATATAATTCATATATATCATTGAGATATCAAAATGAACAAGCTTTAGTTGGTGCTTACAAAAATAATACATTAATTTTTTTAGAGAATAATCATGTACATCATCTTAGATAGAAAGAACAAAACTTGTCGTAACGTTGATGGAACAAATTTGTAAAGAGTCCGTAGAGAACAAAACAGTTGAACCGATGCCGTTCAGCAAAAACCTCCATGCCGAAAACATGCTAAAAGCCAGTTATTAACTAATACTTATCAATCAGATTGAATGGGCAGCACAACTAAATCTGAGACTAGTTAAGCATGATAATAGAAATAAATGGAATACACAAGTGATGTAAAAGAAAAAAAGGGAAATTTAGAGACATACCAAACATAAGTAAAATTACATAAGCATTGTCCTCTATATCGGTTGTTTCTATTGCATAACTAAAGCTGTTTGACCATTCATGACTATTAAAAAATTCGCTGATCATTTTTAAGTTAGTTTTTCTTTATTCCTGGCAGGGCTTGGTGATGTTGTCATTAATTTCAAGCTTATTCCTACTAAGACCATCTGGGTGTGGTGATGAACATACATTTTGTGAGCCGCAGTCTGGCTTCAAAGTTGGGTTGTTCTACCTTTCAGTATACCTTATTGCTTTAGGCAATGGAGGTTACCAGCCAAACATAGCCACCTTTGGAGCTGACCAATTTGATGAGCAAAATCCAAGTGAAGCTCATTCAAAGATCGCCTTCTTCAGTTATTTTTACCTAGCCCTCAACCTGGGATCCCTTTTCTCCAACACCTTCCTTGGATACTTTCAAGACAGGGGCTCCTGGGCTTTGGGCTTTTGGGCATCTGCTGCTTCTGCCATGATAGCTCTCGTCCTCTTCGTTGCTGGCACAACAGGGTATCGTCATTTTCGCCCTAGCGGAAACCCACTTTCGAGGGTGTGCCAAGTGATTGTAGCTGCAGCCAGGAAATGGAATGCCTCCAGTTCAAAGGAGCTGTATGAAATTGGATCAAAGGAATTTGCTTCAACGGGAAATAGAAAGTTGCTTCACAGTGAAGGATTCAAGTGAGTTTTTCAGACTTTAATACCTACATGCAATAAATTGAATAAAGGAAAGTGAATGAATTATAGAGTTGAAAAACTTTAATCGATGTTTAAAAATCTTAATCAACCATAACTAAATATAATAGCATTTTTATTTCTATTTCTTCATTCTCCTTCGCTCCCAATAATGCTTATAATTTCTGGGTTGCAATACTTCAGTTTTTGATAATAAAAATGTCATTCCAATAGGTTCCTGGATAGAGCAGCCATCATTCAAGCCAAAGATGAGCCCAACGTCCAAAGAAACCCTTGGCATCTCTGCACTGTGACACAAATTGAAGAGTTTAAGTGCGTGCTCCGTCTCCTCCCTATCTGGTTGTGCACCATCATCTACTCCATTGTGTTCACACAGATGGCCTCCCTCTTTGTCGAGCAGGGTGCAGTCATGGACACATACATAGGGTCCTTCCATATTCCCCCAGCAAGCATGTCAGCATTTGATATTCTAAGTGTAGCTTTGTTTGTCTTCCTCAATCGTCATGTTTTTCAACCGTTGGCTAGCAGACTCACAGGCAACAGCAGCGGACTCACTGAGCTGCAAAGGATGGGTGTTGGTCTTGTCATTGCCATCACAGCCATGACCTCTGCCGGAACAGTGGAAATTTATCGTCTAAAGCATGTCTGCAAGGACTGCAATGACCAGAGAAGCTCAATGAGCATATTGTGGCAGGTCCCGCAGTATATGCTTATCGGAGCCTCAGAGGTGTTTATGTATGTAGGCCAGCTTGAGTTTTTCAACAGCCAGATGCCAGATGGACTAAAGAGCTTTGGGAGTGCATTGTGCATGACTTCCATCTCTTTCGGCAACTATGTGAGCAGCTTGCTTGTGACAGTTCTGATGGAGATCACAAAGAAAGGCGGAAGCCCGGGCTGGATACCTGAAAACTTGAACAAAGGGCACATGGATAGGTTCTACTACCTACTAGCACTACTGACTGCTGCAGACTTAGTAGTATACATAGTTTGTGCAAAATGGTACAAAAGCATTATGATAGAAGAGGAAGAAGCTGAAGCTGATGATGGTGACGAGATTGATCACATCAAGGGTGCAGGTTTAGGGGATTCTGAGGTTTGAATCAAACGATCAAGTTATTTGGTCGAGAAGTTCTGAGATGCATTTTAACTCAAATATATTTGATTTTCCTAACCTTGACTGCAATGGTCATTGATCTGAACAAGCAGAAGTTTGGTAGACTGCGCTGGGGCGATTAATATTGAGCTATATATATAAAGCAATTGAAGAGAGAAACTAAAACTTGTTCAAAGGTGGAAAAAACTTTGTAATAACAAAGAGAACGAGATGACAAAGTATCTCTGGAATCTTCACATAATCTGTCTTTTAAGGATTTCATTGTTCTTTTTGTACATGTGAACTTTCTTGCCAGGAGAAATAATTTTATTTGAAAACATCTTTTCCCTAATTTATAGAATTCACCATGGATGAAAATTATATAAATATATGACTAAAGATAATACGTTTATTTGCTTCTGGAGTGAAGTAGTGTTGTTTAAGTAACATACATAAAGGAAAAACTGCATTCAAGACAGTCTCAATTTTTGGGTTTATTAGAGTTTTAAGGGTTTCGCATATAAAAGAGAAAAAAAAGAATGAGACGGCTCCATTCCTTATTCTTATAGTACATATTTATGATTGGTAAAGGAAAAAGAGAGGCAGAAGCCTTTTTTTTCAAAAATACCAATCTTATTCTTCACTTCTATATTCTTTTGGTTTCACTTCATTTTTGGTTCTATTGGAGCATTGTCAATTGGGCCTCAGAATTCAACGCCCAACGAGGTACTCGTATGTAGGCTCAATAAGAACTCATTCAAATTCATTCAATTAATTAAACAAACATGCTTGACTAGATTGTTGCTCAACTCATTTATTGTTCATTTAAATTTAAAGTGTATTATCAAGCTTATTAAGAAGCTCGATTAAAGCTTGACATTATAGCCCATTATAATACTGCATATAAAACTTGACTGAAGCTCAATATAAGGCTTGACTAAAACTCAGTCATGGCCGTTTGAATTGCATCTTATATTTGAGCATTTAGTTTTATATCAATACAATAATTTAAAATAGTGTTATTTTTAAATTGTTAAGAATCGGGGTGAATTGTTGAGCTTATAAACCACGTAGCCAATGTGAGGTTGTTACTATTCGCATTATAAAAAAAGCTGAATAGATTTGTTAAGGATTTAGAGCTAGAAAATTGTCATTTTAGTTTTTAAATGAATTGCTTATCAATCGCTCATTAATTATAAGATAAACCAAACATAAGCTACTTAAGGAAAATAAATGAATTTAAATAAATAGAGAACGACCATTACAACCTCGTATCAGCATCTTATATTTGAGCATTTAGTTTTATATGTCTAAAATACTCAAGAATTTGTTAATTTATTTCTATTTATTTCTCTAATGCAACAATAATGTTTATAAATCACACTAAATTTGAAGTGAATACATGAATTGTACTCAAATTTAATGAATTTTAGAGTAAATTGAATAATTTTTTAACATACAATACAACTAATTCAAGGTTTATAAGAAACACCACACATAAAATCACAAATCTAGAGTTTAACATAATTTAGCTCATGCTTTTACTAAGAGAAACACAAATATAATCAAATATTATTCTAAAATTCTAAAAATACAAGAAAATGAATAAAAGGGAAGAGCTGGCTAGTTTGATTATAATTCTCCTTCCTAGACTCTCTTATCCTCCCTTCATATTTTCTCTTTAGGCTTTCAAGTGCTCTCTCTCACTCTAAGTCCACACTATTCACTATAATTGTTCACTTAAACTCCCGACTAACACCGTAATATAGTAATAAAAAGACTATCCAAGAGTAACTCCCTCAACTTTTTAGCACTCCCAGGTGGCTCTAAAATTGCTTTAACATTAAATCTATCGGTCATCATACTGCAATGCAGAGTCCAATGACTCTAAGGCACTAACCTTTCTATATTCTGGCATGATTCTTCGGGATGTAATATAGTTGTGTTAAGCTTCAACACTAGTGTGCAAAGTTCAAAGTCATTTTCGTTATTTTTTTTTTATTTTTAGCACTTTAGCACTCCTATTAATGGCACCAAAGCGTCACACTCTATATCTTAAATATCAATTTTCTTTCATCATGTAGCGTTGTTATGCTAATAGGCTACGAGTTCTCAAGTTTCTTATTTTTCAAGTTATGAACACCATAGTGCTATATAAGCGGCGTCTGGGCAGTACGCTACATTCTCTACTTTTACGTAGATTTTCTATTTTGAATGACAATTCAACGTTATATAGGATAGCATTGTGACACTGTCGGCACTATTTTGGTTGTGGAGTTGCCTATTGGAAGCTGTCGGCCGCAGGAATCAAAATCTCGTCACCCGCTTCAGAAATATTTAATTTACATATAAATATAAGTTTAGAACAATATGAAATCAAAATGATCCCATATCTTTCATAGTCAAATGAAAGAGCAAATGAAAGAGCACTACACCTCAAGCTATTTATCTATCCCGAAAGATAAACACAAGACTTTAGAGTAAGGATCGATCAAATAAACTAAGAAATATATGACATCTGTTTGGTCTGCAAATCCATTTTTATTATAAGCCGAAAATTTTCCCTATTTATTATGAAAAATTAAATAGCGTTTATATTAAGATGTGTTCGGAAAAGCTTCCTATAAGGGCAAGCCCCTATAGTTAATTACATCTTAAATGACCAGAGTCACCCAAAAAAACTCTCGATAAAAATCAGGAAATATTATCTTCAAAGAGGTCAAAAGGATAGGACTTTTCAGCAAGATTGGACAAAGAGGTGTGAAAGGGAAATGACTCAACTTTGGAACATTTCTTGTAGAATCCAATGGAGGAAGAATTAGGAGATGTTATAGATCTAGAGGAGAATCTTGGTGGCTTCCCAGTCTATCCTATTGCTTGGCTGCAGTTTTGATGAGAAATTATTTAAATGTTTTATCCTGCCAATTTTATTTATTTAGGGCTTACATTCATGTAAAACGATCAAATAAATAGCCTAGAAGATGTGAGGATTTAGGTCGTGACTAATGACAACCTCAGAATCATAAGACGAGTTAGGACTTATATTGTACAACTCAGTTATAAAAAAAGCAAGATGAGTTGAGGATTTATGTTGTTGAGGATTTATGTTGCATAAGCAAACAACATCGAAAAACTATGACTTGTTGTTTAATTTTAAGGAAAGACATGTTGTTGTAGATCCTGTTGCTGATGAAGATGGCCGTACTACCCACAATGCTAGCTCCAAGCTCCTCGTCGTGACTATTACACGTTTTCTAATGTGTCAGGTTATGATGTCAAATCAAATCTTTCTATGGTTATGGTTTATTAAATATTAAGGGGCATATTAAAGTTGATTAGAGCAACACCGGTTAGGATCCTACAATTTCATCGTATGCGGTACCACTATTTTCTTCTAGATTCACTTAGTCCAAATAAATTTACTAAACTCAACTTAATTAGCTACATACTTTCATTTAGACTATGGGAAATCTAGTTAGCAACAGTATGTTACCTCCTCTGAGGGATTCCCAATCATCCAAATGAGACGTCTTAATTTAGTTGCAATTGTTGTTTTGTGATGTTTGTGATTAAATTTTGAGTTATCTTATATTTTAAATGTTGTGGTGGTAAATTTTATCTTGATTAATTCTAGTTTTGGTTTTGGTTTTGGTTTTAGTTTTGTGACTATCATAGCAGTTTTGGCTTTCATGCATGGTGACATCATTGTTTAATATGCAAGCTTGAGAAAAGAAGTATAAGGAGGTAAATGCATTAAATTGAAAACATACTTGTCAATTCTTCTGGTTCCACCACCTGAAAGGTCAGTACTTGTAAGACATGTATATAATTTTGCAAGGGATTTAAATTGCAGGAGTAGATGAAGGTTTAGTTATCAAACCCCAAGTTATGATTTTATTGAATCTCAGAAGATCCTAGTAGATGATTTTAGAATAAAATATGGCAAGTCCTATTTTCCCTTCAGAAAGTCCAATATATTTCAAAGTGCTCGAGCTTGACCTCAGACCACTTTGAAGATCTCTTAAAATATTCTGAGTTCATTCTGAACTTATCATATTGTTCCATTAATCATCAGATGTCAAAGTGTGACTTCCCCGTTGCTTAGAGAAAGTTGACAATTTAATTATCCTAATGATAGAATACTCAATTAATCGGTTTATGTTTCATTTAAGAGTTATGTGAGTGGGTGCCCCTAAGGCAAGTTTATGCCATTTAAACATTATGGTGCCCACAATTAAGGTCAGGCTTATAATGTTTAAAGATGTTAATCACCAATCACATCATCTTCTAAATCCAATCAATTGAGTTTAGGCATTGAGCCTAGGTCACTACTAAGCCCTCAACAATCATAATAGGTGAAATGGATATTATCAAAATTTTGATTTAAGTGACATATATCCTTATTGAATGATCACATCATCTTCAACTTTGGACTTAAGAAAAGTAAATTATAATCATTTCTATCTTAAGTCCATCACTTAAGAATCATTTGATCTTAGTTGACTTCCAAGTCATGAAGATTAGGAGAATCATGATTTTGTTGATGTTATGCAAGGGTGGTGAGTGAGTCTCTACCTTTTAATCCCATAGTATTTCAATCATCCAAACTTGTTTATTAAGATCAAAATTACATATTTTCCCTTTGTTAATCCTAAATTTTGATTAAGAACCAAAATCTAAAATGATTAATTTTGTCCTTGGGGTGCTTCATCTCATAACTCATTAAAGATAACCCAAATGACTTTGAGCATTTTGAGTGTCATATCCATGAAATAATTAAAATATTAGAGGAGAATATGGGGGCTTCTCAAATTTTAGTTTAATTAATTTATTTAAATTCTGAAAATAAGATTTTCAAAAATTGATTTATTTAACTTTCCAAAATAAAGTTTTAACTTATGAAAAAATTATTAGAGGTTTCATTAGGTCAGAGAAACACTTAAGCAACATTTCATGATTTTTTGAAATAAATTTTTTTTATTAACAAGCTTCAAGGATTTAATTAAATAGAAAATAGTGTTTTGATTATCAAAGTTATATCATATTTGTTATATTATATTTTTATTAGACTTCTCTAAGTTCAGAAAGCTCATATAATCAAATTTTGTATTTTTATGATTTTTAATTTATTTATTAAAATTATTTTAATGAGAAAATAAGAAAAATTCATTTTTAATAAGAAAAATTCATTTGAAAAATTCATTTTTAAGCTTTTCAAATTTATTTTTAACTTAGAAAAATTAGGAAAAATGTCCTAATGAGTTCTAATTGAACAGGGAAAATTTGTAAACATTTGAAATCATCTTTTGTATT